CCCCGATCCTCAGCATGTTTAGCGGTCGTCTTTGGATGGGCAGCTACTGGGAACCAAACAAGACCCAGTGTGCGCGATGCCGGGGCGAGGTGCAACACGCGTGATGGGTGCGCCACGCATACCAGGTGCGCCAGGCACCTTTGCCAGGCGCACCTGGTGCGCTAGATGCGCAGCGTGCTCCACGTGCGCCCAGTGTACCGCATGCTCTAGCCGCACCAGGTGCGCCACGTTTCAGGGCAAGCGCAGCGTGTGCCAGATGCGGCGGCGCACGTGTCATCACACGTCGGGAAGGATGTCGGCCCCCACCATCCTTGTCGAAAACTACTGCACCATCGCGGCGGGGTGGCCTTCATGGTGTTTGGTGGGCCTGCGCGCAGCAGACAACATGCCAGAAACCCCACCGTCCCTGTCAAAAACCATGGACGGTGATCGCGGGGTGGCCGCAGATGGACCAGACTTAGCGGCAAAGTGCACTTGTACTTGTTTGACGGGGATGGTGGCCCTGCGCAGAGCTGGCAATGTGCTGGCACGCCCGCCGTCCCTGTCACAACACAATACAACGTGTTCGTGGGGCCCACCAGCATGGCCCAAGATTGTGCCCCAACATGTATTTTGTATAGTGTTTGACGGATGGCGGGGGGGGCCCTCTTGGAGTCCGCATGGGCACGGGTTTGTCCATGGCCGCCTGTGGTGATGGGGGAGCTCAATCTACGAGAAGCAGTGAGCAGGACGTTGCTCCCAGGTGCCAGCTGCTGGCTCCCTCCCACCCGCTCTCCCGACACGAGAGCCGTACCCGAGTCTCGGCATGCCCTGCGGTCGTCTTTGCGCGGGCCGCTGCTGGGAGCCAGCACGGGCCCCACGGCGCGCGCCGCCGGGCCGCCGGCCCCGGCGGAAGGACGAGGGGGAGGAAGAGGGGGAGGAGGAGGAGGAGAGGAGGAGGAGGAGAGGAGGAGGAGGAGGAGGAGAGGAGGAGGAGGAGAAGGAGGAGGAGGAGGAGGAGGAGGAGGAGGAGGAGGAGGAGGAGGGAGGAGGAGGAGGAGGAGAGGAGGAGGGGGGGAGAGGGGGAGGGGGGAGGAGGAGGAGGAGGAGGGAGGAGGAGGAGGAGGAGGAGGAGGAGGAGGAGGAGGAGGAGGAGGAGGAGGAGGAGGAGCAGTGTACGCCACCGCGGCGGGGTGGCTGTCGCGGTGTCCGGTGGGCCTTGCGTGCAGCAGGCGGTGGTGCGAGCACCCGCCCGGGGTCCCGTCGGACACCATTGTGCGAGGCGATCGCGGGGCACCCGCGCGGGATCCAGGTTTGGCGGCGGAGTGCGGCTCGTACTGTTCCCAGCCCTCCAGTGCTGGGCACCCGTTCTGAACAGGAGCAGTGCGGTCTCCACCTCCTCCTCTCCTCCTCCTCTCCTCCTCTCCTCCTCTTTCCCTGTTTCCTGTGCTCCCTTCTCCTCTTCTCTTGTGCCGTCTGCGATCTGCACAACTGTCGCCACTTTCGTGGGCTCCTGGGAGGCCCAGCGGAGCTGGGTCCCACGCGGATCACCTCGGGACCTCGCCGCCCCTTTGGGGAGCTTGCGATCTGCGCAACTGTCGCCACTTTCGACGGCTCCTTTGAGGCCCAGCGGAGGTGGGTCCCACGCGGACCACCTTGGGACCTCGCCGCCCCTTGGGGGGCTTGCGATTTGCGCAACTGTCGCCGCTTTCGTGGGCTCCTGGGAGGCCCAGCGGAGGTGGGTCCCACGCGGACCACCTCGGGAACTCGCCGCCCCTTGGGGGGCTTGCGATTTCCGCAACTGTCGCAACTTTCGTGGGCTCCTGAGAGGCCCAGTGGAGGTACTTTATACGCGGACCACCTCGGGACCTCGCCGCCCCCTGGGGGGCTTGCGATCTGCGCAATAGTCGCCACTTTCGTGGGCTCATGGGAGGCCCAGCGGAGGTGGGTCCCACGCTGACCACCTCGGGACCTCGCCGCCCCCTGGGGGGCTTGCGATCTGCGCAACTGTCGCCACTTTCGTTGGCTCCTGGGAGGCCCAGCGGAGGTGGGTCCCACGCGGACCACCTCGGGACCTCGCCGCCCCTTGGGGGGCTTGCGATCTGCGCAACTGTCGCCACTTTCGCGGGCTCCCGGGAGGCCCAGCGGAGGTGGGTCCCACGCGGACCACCGCGGGACCTCGCCGCCCCCTGGGGGGCTTGCGATCTGCGCCAATGTCACCACTTTCGTGGGTTCCTGGGAGGCCCAGCGGAGGTGGGTCCCACGCGGACCACCTCGGGACCTCGCCGCCCTTTGGGGGGCTTACGATTTGCGCAACTGTCGCCACTTTCGCGGGCTCCTGGGAGGTCCAGCGGAGGTGGGTCCCACGCGGACCACCTCGGGACCTCGCCGCCCCTTGGGGGGCTTGCGATCTGCGCAATAGTCGCCACTTTCGTTGGCTCCTGGGAGGCCCAGCGGAGGTGGGTCCCACGCGGATCACTTCGGGACCTCGCCGCTCTCTGGGGGGGTTGCGATCTGTGTC